ATCAGGGGTTGGATTTTGGGGATCTCAGTTGGAATTTTGGGATCTCAGTTGGAATTTTGGGATCAGGGGTTGGAATTTTGGGATCAGGAGTTGGAATTTTGGGATCAGACCCAGAATTTTGGGATCTCAGTTGGAATTTTGGGATCAGACCCGGAATTTTGGGATCAGACCCAGAATTTTGGGATCACTGCTGTCCTTTGTGCTGGAATTCCCCAAAATCCCGCAGCTTTTCCCGGGCTCGACCCCTCCGGAAAAACCTCCGGACCTGCGGAATTTTCCGGGAATTTCTTCGGGAATTTTTCCCCTTTGGAATTCAGGGCCTGGCCAAGGATCCCAAATCCCGAAATCCCGAATTTCCTTTTCCCAGATAAACCTGGAAAAGCTCAAGGAAAGGGCCCAGAGGTTCGGCCTCAACGTCTCCTCCCTCTCCAAAAAGGTGAGAACCGGGAATTCCGGGAATTCCGGGAATTCCAAATCCCAAAATTCCAACATTTCCCAGCTTCGCCCTGCCCGGATTTTGGGAATTTTGTTTTTGGGAATTTTGGGGGTTTTTTTTGGGAATTTTTTTTTTTTTTTTGCTGGAATTTTTTGGGAATTTTGGGAATTTTGGGATTTTGGGAATTGGGGGGTTTTTTTTGGGAATTTCGGGGAATTTTGTTTTGGAAATTGAGGGTTTGGGTTTTGGGAATTGGGGGGTTTTTTTTGGGAATTTCGGGGAATTTTGTTTTGGAAATTGAGGGTTTGGGGAATTCTGGTTTTTAGGGAATGGGGAATTTTGGGAATTTTGGGGAGTGGGGATTTTTGGGAAAGGGGAATTCTGGATTTTCAGGAATGGGGTTTTCTGGGAATTTTGGGAGTTTTGTTTGATTTTTGGGAATTTTGGGAGTTTTGTTTGATTTTTGGGAATTTTGGGAGTTTTGGGAACAGGGAATTTTGGGAATTGGGGGATTGTCAAGAACAGGGATTTTTGGGAATTGTGGGATTTTTGGGAAGGGATTTTTTGGGAATTTTGGGATTTTCAGGAACAGGAATTTCGGGAATGCTGGGATTTTCGGGAAGGGGAATTTTGGGAATGCTGGGATTTTTGGGAAGGGGAATTTCGGGAATGCTGGGATTTTCGGGAATGCTGGGATTTTCGGGAAGGGGATTTTCGGGAATGCTGGGATTTTCAGGAATGCTGGGATTTTCGGGAAGGGGAATTTCAGGAATGCTGGGCTTTTGGGGAGG